ACTATGTGTCTGAGCCAATAACTCAAACTTACCTAGGTAGAAACGCGCACTATGTGTATCATTAACAAACAGGAATCACACTGTAGGCTGATATATAAATGTAGATGTAGGACTTTAATAAAGCCAATCTCTCGCGTGAACTGGCAAAATACAGACAGCACATCACATGTCCCACCCGAGACAGTAATATATTGGATCACTGTTACACCACAATAAAGAATGCATATCACTCTGTTCCATGGGCAGCTTTGGGGCTCTCTGATCACTGTTTGGTTCATCTAATACCGACCTACAGGCAGAAACTGAAATCAGCTAAACCTGTATTAAGGACTGTAAAAAGATGGACTAATGAAGCAGAGCGTGATTTACAAGCCTGTTTTGACCTCACTGATTGGAGTGTTTTTGAAGCTGCAGCCACCGATCTGGACGAGCTCACAGAGACTGTAACTTCATATATCAGTTTCTGTGAAGATATGTGCATTCCTACCAGGACATTCTTATCATTTAATGATGATAAACCGTGGTTTACTGGGAAACTCAAACAGCTTCGTCACTCCAAAGAGGATGCTTACAGAAGTGGGGATAAAATCTTGTATAACCAGGCCAGGAACAGACTAACAAAGGAGATCAGAGTGGCTAAAAAAAACTACTCAGAAAAGCTGAGAAAAGAGCTTTCAGCAAACGATCCAGCGTCAGTATGGACTGGTCTGAGGAACATCAACATGTACAAGACACCACCCCCACAGAATCAACAACTGGCTGACGATCTGAATGTGTTTTACTGCAGATTTGAAAAGGATAGTCTACCACCCCCCATCCGCTCTGATCTGCACTTCACACCTTCACCTACCACCCCTGCAACCCCCCTCCCTCCCTCCCCCACCATTCAACCTGCGCTTAAGGTCTGTGTAGAGGACGTGAACCGGGTCTTCAGGAAGCAGAAATCTAGAAAAGCTTCAGGCCCAGATGGTGTTTCACCTGCCTGTTTAAAAGTCTGCGCTGACCAACTGGCCCCCATCTTCACACAGATCTTCAACAGATCATTGGAGCTGTGTGAAGTTCCCTGCTAAAGCTCTTCTGATTCTGATTCTGATTCTGATTCACCTTGGAGAAAAATCCACATTCCTGAATTAATAGTTTAAAAAACTTTGTGTGGCATTATGATAATCATAGCGGGTCAGATATTCAAATACAAATGAGGTTTGTTTGTTTGTTTTTTTGCATTTAGAGGCAGTTTGTAAACCATAGATGTCCTTAATTCAAAATTTCCAATGGTAAAAATTCCAGAGAGGCAGAGAAAGTGAGTAAAATCACTAGAAATAGTATAAGTATGTTAGCAACAGTTAATCATGGCATTTCCATTTCAACATAAAGAGGAGCATTTTGCTAAATTTATGCACTATATTGCAGATCCATATTTTTACTTAATATGTTGTCTACACGATAAGAATGAATGCAAGGAGCTAAAAATAAAATCCAACACCTCCTATATAATTGCATGTTACTAATGAAGAAAAACAGACTGGATGCGTGCCAGACATGACAACATTTATAGGATGCATTGAGGAGGAGCCCAAACTTTCCTACAAGAACAACTATATTTTTAGGTTTAAATATTCAATTAACTTAATTAATTAGACTAAGCTGATATTAGCTACAAAAACTCTTACCACTGAAATTCTGCACAGGCATCTTTAGTTCTCTCCCTTTTTTAATGCCAATGAACAAATCGATTTTATAATCCCTCTTATAGTTCCTCTTTTGTAAGGTTCATGTATTATTTCTGACACATGACGTATAATGGAAAATGAACATATGCAAATACAAATTGAGTGATTGCTGTCCTATAAAACTAGCTAGTGAGCGTCTTACTGTGGAGGTCAAGGTATGTGTCAGGCTATAGCATGGTGTATTATGGGACAAACAGTAGAACAAGCTAAAAAAAACAATGTTAAAAAGTTCTGATAAAATATGATGTTTTAACATAAAGCACTGAAAGAGGTGGAGAAAACACGGGCAAATTAGAGACGAAAACAACAGCTGGCTGCCAATCGATGCAAGATAACGACAGTGATGTAGTGCTGAAGGAACAAGTTGGAGTTGGGACACTGAAAAAATAAATTGCATACTTGTAAGTTGCATATGTTGACTTTATTGATCGTGCATAACTACACTTTATAGCAAACGAACGACCATAACCACAATGAATGCTGGTCTACTGTATAGAGTGGAATAGGGAATAATACTTCAGCTTTACTCCAGTGTAAAAAAAACACACATTAATGTAATTTTGCTAATGTGGTAAGTGTGATTCACTTTCATACCAGTTTACATTTCAAAGGTTAAAATCAAGGCACTGAACAGTACCTGAGGGCCAGACTGAATCTGAGGCATATAGCATGTCCAGTTTACATAAGAGAATCTGTGCAGTTATGCTGGCTATTCATCTCCCAAGCCTACAAAGCCAAGAGGTGTTGAGATCTGAAGTGTGCATTTTAAAAGAATTCTTTAGCAGTACAGGAAATATGCAGGGCATTGACTTCTTCCTTTTGAAGAAAGATGAGTTGGTGTAGAATTTGATTGTCATTGGACGGATCAATGATGTGGTCTTGAGAATGTGCTCTCAAGCTCAGGACTTTGTGTGCCACCTGTCAAAACCTCACATCAAGTTTGTTTTGCAACATTCACAGGGCTCAAAAAAAGAGGCATTTTATATATGTATCAGTTCATTTCTTTGCTCCTTACAATGAAAAACAATTGCAGTATAGACTGAAGGTTATGGAAGATCACTGATATTGTTGCACAGATGAAAAGAAAAACATTTGAACTTGAAGTAATATATTGGAAGTTGATGATACTCATGTCATATTTTATTTTACAATACATTGTACTGTCAGTCTAGCGGTAGTACATTTTCAACAAATTGATACTATCAAAGTGATATATCTTTTTTAAATGACGCTTGATGTAAATTACAGTTTATGCCATTTTTTTTGTTTTCCCCATAAGTTCCCCATAATTAAAAAAATAATAATAATTGCCTTGCACATCAGTTATTTGACGTGAGTATCATGACTACATTTGAGACTTGTTTTAATGTAATAATTTATTCATGTTTTCTACATATCAAGAAATTTTTGAATTATTGCTGTTTAGTTTCTCATGCACTAAATATTTCATTCATGTCATGAATGACCTATTTTAAACTGGCAGTGGGACTTCATATTTTAACATGTTTGTATGATGAACACCTGATGGAATTAATGCTTTTGTTTCATTCTGAATGTTCTCCATCAGTTCTCTCATAATGAATCATAACTAAATGTAAACACAAAAGATGTTTCTGTCTCTTGCCTGGAACTCCTCGTTCTGATTAAATGGAAAGCTGGCCTCTCTGTGCTCCTCACACCAGTTTCCATCCTGTAATGAATTACACACTATAGTGCGCTGGTCACCATGGGCGTCAAAACGAGGGTTCATGTGTAGAGCGATGTCCTCGGCACTGTGACCAATGTTAATGGCAAAACTGCAAAAGAGCAAATTAAAAATATGACTCCTGGTGCTTTTAAAGTCCTGAATTTGAGATTAGTTTCTCATGCACTAAATATTTCATTCATGTCATGAATGACCTATTTTAAACTGGCAGTGGGACTTCATATTTTAACATGTTTGTATGATGAACACCTGATGGAATTAATGCTTTTGTTTCATTCTGAATGTTCTCCATCAGTTCTCTCATAATGAATCATAACTAAATGTAAACACAAAAGATGTTTCTGTCTGAACACATTAAACAAGTAAAAAAGTAAAAGATGCTTAGTTTATCTGTGAAAACAGGTTTTATTTTATACGCCAACAGCTATAGCTAGTGAATTTGCTTTAGTTACAAACCAGATTTAAGAACACGATGTTTTATTATAGAAAAGTAGTAGGAAAAATAAACTAGTTGACGCTCATGGCAATTTATTGTAGTTGCGCTCCCTCTAGTGGTTTTAGATAGGCAGTGCCACAGTAAAATTATTAGGCTGATTTGACATACAAGTGATAATAGTGTGATTGAGATACTCCATACTCAGTAAGTGAAAATTGTGGGATAACAGAGCTGGATAAGTGACCACATAAGACAGAGAATCTTTCAGCATTCATGATACAACAGAAGCCTTATTTAAGTGCTGATTAGTCTACTTGATTTCGATCCCATGGATCCTGCCCTCTCCTTCAAAGTACATATATTTGTACTTCTCAGCGCCTTGACGGTTAGGGAAGCGAATCTGAGAACCATCAGAAAGAGTCATCAGGAACTCCTCATTGGTGAAAGTGATTTTTATCTGAAGGAAGAAAAGAGATTGCATATTAATTAAAATCCTGATATTAAATTTCCCCATTAAATTTCATCCACAGCCCATTTATTATTATTATCATCTTTAAGTTTATGGCTAAACAGCAGTTTAATTACTATATATATATATATATCCTCGGCACTGTGACCAATGTTAATGGCAAAACTGCAAAAGAGCAAATTAAAAATATGACTCCTGGTGCTTTTAAAGTCCTGAATTTGAGAAGTTGCTTAGTGGAGACTTACTTTGTGGAATCAGCACTGGGGACTCCTGTAACAGTCAGAGTCTGTCCCGTCTTAAAGGACAAATTCTGCACAAGCACACCCTGTTAAAAACAGAGAGAGCTGAAGTTACTCTTTATTCTGCATAATTTGATTTTACTACTGGTATGAATAGCCGAATATGTGTATCCACTTCAATTTGACTTGTACAGCTGGGCACTGTGCCTGGCTTTCCCTATAAGACCAAGGAGAGATTATAGCTGTAATGATGGAGTGGACAGAATCAGCCTCACAAAAGCAATGCTGTCAATTTTTCCTATGCGTTGAAAGAAAAATCCTAGTCCAATGGTGAAAGGCAAAGTGCCAGACTTGAACTTTTAAAAAACTGCAGATGTGGCACAGTTGCTCTATTGGAAAACCTCTGCATGGGTTCTATCCTAAAAAATGTACAAAATTGTCACTGGGGTGGTACCCTTTCAAAACGTAGTAATTTGCACACTCTAAGTAATTTAAAAAGTACTCTGTACCGTTCAGGGTTAAATTTCACTTTTGTACTTCAGGGTACTGCCACAGTGACAGCTTTGTACCCTTTTTCTGAGACGATGGATACAAGAAGAGCTATCATTTAATCATTCAATCTTTAAAAACTAGTGGCCATGCCATCTTTGAGAGATTTGGTATAAATGTAGAAGCCAGGTTGGGTCAGCAGCTGCAAAATCACACGATGAATCACACAAGGCCTCTGTATGTGATTCACAGCTGCCGAGGAAAGTAGATTTGTATAGCTGTTGTAATGATAGCAGAAGAGATAGGCTACAGCTGGCTGAATAGTGGAGAGAAAGGAGGGTCAAAAAAGAGAGATAGGAGGAGGAAAAGAAGGGAAAAAGTTGCTTAGACTGAGAATGTGAAAGAACAGATGTGCATCAGAGGTGAATTCTTTCCACATTAGTCAGTGTGAGTAACAGTAAACCAGCTCTCAGACAGAAGCTGCTGCAGAACGACACTCTCAGAGCAGTGTGGCCTCCCTCATTCTTTCTTTCTGAACTTTCTAAACTTCTTATTTTAACTGCAAAAGGAAAGCTGGCCGGTGATGCTCAGTCTTTTGGATTAGCATAGTTGAGAATGACTGAGTCATGCTGCTTTCGCTGAGCTTTAGCAAGAAAGTGAGCTAACGGTCTCCTTTTCAATGCCCCTGGGTACTGTATGGTTTCAGACCATAGTTGGGCATGAATTGGCCAGTCTTGCTTCATCTGTAGAAATGCCAGAGGATTGAACATGTTAAGGTAAGATGAATTACCCTAAAATGTTGAAGGGTTACAGACTATGTGTATTACAAACACAATAGCCAAGGCTACAAAGTTAACCTCTGTCCTGAACTTATTCACTTTCTGTTATTTGATTATGGCTGCCTTGCTCCATGAAAAGGCTCATATATAATACTTAACTTTATGAAACTAAATCACAGAAGAAAAAACAGTCAGCAGTCATTACTCCAGTCATGAGTGTCATATAATCCACCAGAAATCATTCTAATATGCTTATTCGGGGCTCAAGAAACATTTATTATTATTATCACAGTTGAAAATGGTTGTGCTACTTAATATTTTTGTGGAAATCATGATACATTTTTGTTGAGCATTATCTGAAGTTCAGAAGAACAACATTTAATTTAAATTATTATTTTTTTTTTTTTTGAAAACGTAAAAGTCATTACTGTCACTTTGGGTCAATTTAATGCATTGTCACGGAATAAAAAACTGAGCACACAGTGGATCCTTTTTCTCAGTGATTCTGTTTGTTTGTTTATTTATTTATTTATGACATGTTGGTGTAATATCTTTCACTTGGATGTTATAAGTTGCACTGAGTGAATACAGCTGAATAAAACAAAAACTGTGTAGGCCTACGTCTTCATTTCAGGCTGCAGTGCAACAAAATGTGATTATTTTAAAGGGGGTGTGAATCTTTTCTATACCCACTGTATACAAATTTGTCTCACTGCTTATTTTTTTTTAAAGGAAATAATAATAACTGTTTGTTCAAAAATACAGTAGTACAACATTATGATGTATAACATTATAATATTATAGTACAACATTATGATAGAAATGGATGATGGAATTAACAACACTGCTGCATTAAAGTAAGTACACTCAAGAAATGAGGAGGTCACACCCATGCACAATGCACGTGGGGGTGCTTCAGTAGACACTATTCTATAACAACTAAACAATGCACCAAATAGACAACATAGCCTACTGTACAGTATCAATAGCCATAAACACCAGACTTCAGCTACGAGCAGCAGCATATGCATTATTTGTGCTAAATTAAGATAAAGAGAAGACATTCTAGCATATGCTGTCTTAACTATAAACAAATCTTAAACACACCGTTTGACATACAACTAAAGAATAATGTATCGACGATGTGTTTTAAAATTACTCACGCTCATTTTGGCTTCCTTTGCGACCCAATGAAGTGAAACGAAGCGTCTGGGGGAGAAAGTTGCGTTGTGTGGAGGGCTTCTTATGTCCACTGCGGACTATAGAGGCTTCAGATGACCGATGTTTATTTCACCCAATTAGGTTTCTTTGCCTACTCTATCTCGACCAATCGCAAAAAGGCATGTGGGTTTACTATATGTAGTCTATTTCTAGACATACCCTGGTAATACGCTATAAATACATCTGAATAATTAAAACAAACGACCATAACCACAATGAATGCTGGTGTACGTTGCGAACATAACATAATGTAATGATGCGCTTGTAGCCCATAACTAATCTACTTATTAAAACTTTATTGAAACAACTGGCTTCAGTTTTAAAGATGATTAAAAGCGTAATATAATTGACATGCTTATGAATTGGTTGAGAATTGTCACACGTTGTAAAATATATTGATCATGTATCGAAAATAAGTCATGATGAGTTGGAATCAGAGGTGATGTATTTGTGGTCTGTGTGCTGGAATACTCAGTATTTTGGAGCTGCTGACACGAGGGTGTGGCACTGCCAATTTGCGCTGCTTTGTGAAACTGACGAGCATTTTAACATGACAGTGTCGTTTGCTTGATCTAAACTGTACACACAAGCATTTCAACACATTAACAATTCGGTTTATTTATTTATTTATTTATTGCTACATTAGCTATGTCTTAGACTAACAACAAATTTTTTGCATAGGGCTCCAGGATGCCTTAAGACAGTCACAAGATATGACCGCAAACTCAGGAAATGGTTTAGAGAAGTGAGAAGCTCCGGGGACCACTAAAGGGCTATGAAACATGAAAGAAACAATGTCAGCATAATACAAAGTAAATTTTAGCCTACAGGGAATAGTTTAAAGGGGTCATATGATGCGATTTCAATTTTTCCTTTCTCTTTGGAGTGTTACAAGCTCTTGGTGCATAAAGAAGATCTGTAAAGTTGCAAAGACTAAAGTCTCAAATCCAAAGAGATATTATTTATAAAAGTTAAGAGTCAACCACGCCTACCTAAAACGGCTCGTTCTAACACGCCCCCACATGTCTACGTCACGATGTGGGAAGATTTGCATAACGCCGCCCAAATGTTGACGCAAAGAAAGAAGGTGTATATTTTATTCTCGCTGTAGTAACAACAAAACCTCTGGATGTACTGTATGAAGCGCTTGGTGAGGTCATGTGTGCACAGGAGGAGGACATGTGCTACAAAACCTACTTACTGGTGAGTCTGATCACATTAGCACTGGACCTTAAAGACATTTATCCATTTTAACAAAATACAGTATAAAATCTCAGCCAACAGGAGATGCAGTTAGTCTAGCAGAGAATGTGGCCCTCATCTCTCAAGGCACCACAGGTCTGGTTACCTGGGAGGCTGCCCTATACCTGTCTGAATGGGCGTTGGAAAATACACACATCTTTACAAACAAGTAAGTCTGACACTTAACAACTCTGTGCCATTGTAGTTGTGATTGTTGTTTATTTTTTAATCTGAAATTTAAAAAAAAATTTAAACCTGGAAGTTATATTTTGGCTGGTATTTTGAACATTCTATTCATCAAAAAAATCTTGAAAAAAATGATCAAGGTTTCCACATAAATATTAAAGCAGCTCTGCTGTTTTCAATATTGATTATAAATTTGTCTTGAGCAGCAAATCAGCATATCAAAATGATTTCTAATGGATCATGTGACAATGAAGACCAAAGGAATGGCTAAAAATTCAGCTTCGCACCACAGGAATAAATTACATTTTAAAATAAATCAAAACAGAATTGTTATTTAAAATAATGTAATAATATTTCACAATATTATTGTGTTACTGTATTTATGAACAAATAAATGCAGTCTTGGTGAACAAAAAAAGAGACTTAGAATAGTATGAGAAACATTCAAAGAACTACTGCAGCTACTTATAGAAAAACTAATTGAAATGACTTTATGTAGTTAATTGTTTGAATTATTCTATTAGCATGCAACTATAAGTGCATACAGGTGCATCTCAATAAATTAGAATGTCGTGGAAAAGTTAATTTATTTCAGTAATTCAACTCAAATTGTGAAACTCGTTTATTAAATAAATTCAATGCACACAGACTGAAGTAGTTTAAGTCTTTGGTTCTTTTAATTGTGATGATTTTGGCTCACATTTAACAAAAACCCACCAACTCACTATCTCAACAAATTAGAATACTCCATAAGACCAATAAAAAAAAACATTTTTAATGAATTGTTGGCCTTCTGGAAAGTATGTTAATTTACTGTACATGTACTCAATACTTGGTAGGGGCTCCATTTGCTTTAATTACTGCCTCAATTCAGCGTGGCATGGAGGTGATCAGTTTGTGGCACTACTGAGGTGGTATGGAAGCCCAGGTTTCTTTGACAGTGGCCTTCAGCTCATCTGCATTTTTTGGTCTCTTGTTTCTCATTTTCCTCTTGACAATACCCCATAGATTCTCTATGGGGTTCAGGTCTGGTGAGTTTGCTGGCCAGTCAAGCACACCAACACCATGGTCATTTAACCAACTTTTGGTGCTTTTGGCAGTGTGAGCAGGTGCCAAATCCTGCTGGAAAATGAAATCGAGTTTCACAATTTGAGTTGAAGTACTGAAATAAATGAACTTTTCCACGACATTCTAATTTATTGAGATGCACCTGTACTGTTGATCACCCGTGATGTACATGCAGGACGGTTCTAGAGCTGGGTAGCGGAATTGGACTTACCATCATTGTAGTGTGTCGGTCATCCAGCCTAACCAAATACATCTTCAGTGACTGCCATCAAACTGTGCTTCAGAGGCTGAAGGACAATATCACAAACTGCTTAACTAACTGTGACAGTAACAGTGCGTCAGTGTGCGTGGAGGAGCTGGACTGGGAAAATGTGTCTGATGAACAGCTGCAAAGAATACAGGCCAGCACCATCATTGCCGCAGGTGACACAAAACTCAGGGATATTTGCAGGAACACACACATTATAGTTTCATATGTGATTTATTTTCATTCAGTGATTAAAAGGTCTCTGAATCAAGTCTAATCAAATGAAATTATGATGTTTGAAAAGTTTTGAGTAACATTACTGTGTTTGTTTGAAACAGATGTGGTGTATGATCCTGATATAATTGCTTGTTTGGTGAGACTGCTGAGCAGGCTTCTGAACTGCAAAGTTCAAGAAGAACATCCTGATGTTTACATTGCATCTACTGTACGTAACCCACAGACGTATGACTGCTTCAAGAAAGAATTAGGTAGGTTTCATATTATTAATAATATTCTATTCTGTTACACTGTCGATGTAAAATGTTTTCATAATTCCTGATTCTCCATAATGAATAAAATGTTTCTTTTATTTACAGAAATGGACTGAGACATGTTGTTATGAAAGATTCTGTTCCTCAAGTATTTCCATACAACCGAGCCTCCACTATAGAAATGATCAAAACATATGTATGACAGAAACTATCTCTTTGTAGTAAAGTATTTATTTACATAATATTTACAAGGATAGTGTGCTTTTTATTCTCATATTCAAGTCTTTCCCAATTGCATTGCTGGAATGCTGATTGTCCCGTTGTGGGGACAGTTAGCTTAAAATTGTGTACCCTGTGCAAATACCTGACAGTAACTTTCCATTGAATGGGAGTCAAAGGATTTGAGAGAACTTTACATAAACCCATCACCTAGACAGTCAGTCGCAGTGCTCTTTAATAAGTGGCAGGACGTTATGGTCCCAGTTCTCATCCCAGCGCTGCTGCCCGCTTTCCCTTAGATTCTTCCTGAAGATGCCCAGTTTCCCCTGATCACTAGGGAAGTCTGAAAGCAGAAGCTACAGAGATAACAGCATTAGTTGTAAGCATTTGCCACATTTATATTAGCAAGATCATGTAATATTGACTAGTGGTTGAAATGGGTACTGCAGTCCAAATTCAAAATATTTTTTCTCCTGCTCCCTCCTCCTCAGATTGAGGAACAACAGGAAAAAGTGCAAGTGACAATGGAAGGCAACAAGCCTTACACTGTAAGCTAATGAGTTGGTTTATCTGTGTTTTAATATGCCTATGATCATAGAGCTTTTTAGATGGATGCTGAGGCTTTTTAGGTCCATTAGAATCTGCGATCTCTGACCCAGTTCGTTTGCTGCAATACGCTGAGTTTTCTGCCAACTGGCAACCCGAGGTGTCGAAACATTATTGGGTAAACTGGCAGTGGGTAGAATCACACAGACCAAAACAAAAACAGACATTTCGACACGGAACACACATTTCAAAAGTCGAATAACTGGCTGTAGGACTGTTTCTTGGAGAAACAATTATGTGAACTTAGTTAATAATTAGAAATCTCCAAACTTTTTTTCTCAAATATGGCCATTTTGAGAGAGAGATGAAAGTTGCGTGAGTGAATTATGTGCGTCTGTGCAGCTCTAATGCACACCAGTATTCAGAGACCATGGTATGTGTGTGTGTGTGTGTGTGTGTGTTGTAGCAGCTAGCAACGACGTATGATGACATGTAATGGTGTAGTAGTGGTGTCCCATTTCTTAGGGGAATATTTTCACCCCTACCCCTTGACACTCTGTTTCAAGGGGTAGATGAAGGGGTATAAAATAGAATTGGGATTGGGCCTTAACATGTTTCCTAAATATATGCAAACATATTATGGAATTTTAATGCTTTAGTACGGTCAAAAAAGTTAGATACAACACCTTTAAGAAAAAAAATATTGGTTTTGAATCTTGAAAGTCATATAGAGCAGTTTTTTAATCAATAGATGTCTTACCTTTAACTGTTCAGACAGCTCCTTGGAGTCGTTGAAAATGAGCCCATTTTCTTCATGTTTCACCAGCTCATGCAAGCTAACAAGATACAGATAATGAGCAGATGACACCTTACATAACCCACACCTACTATAAAAGACCAGTCTCACAATCTTACCACTGAAAGTGTATGGCACAGACTGGCAGACAACAACCAAACATGTCGACCACTTTCATTGGAAGGTCAAGACCACTGGAGGATTTGTGCAAGCAGACCCCAAGATCAGCAGAACCTGTGCCAAAAACAACATACTCATGTAAATACGTGTGGTTTAGGTCAAAACACTCAGCAATTCCTGGTCTATGAAGTTTATAATGCTGTTAAAGAGATCCTCTCACCAAGTAAAACTGGATAATCCTCTGCTTCCAGCCATGGAGTGCAAATCTTGATATGATGAAATTCTTTAGAGTCAATCAGCTTCTTGTAATACTCCTTCTGAGGACCCTTACCTATATTGATAAATCAGTGTTTGAAACACACAAACAGAGGCATTGGTCCACAGCTGATTTTACGGACATTTATACATATTAGACATTGTGGCGTGTACCTGTAATCACACAAACCAATGATGGAAGTTTGTGTCCTGCCTCTACAAACTTCTCATACTCTTATTGGATAAAGAAAGAAAGAAATCAAATGTTGAAGATTACATGGTCTAATAAGTTTCAATACATAAATATACAACTGTAAATTACAGAAAAGGTTGTGGTACACTACAGTTCAAAAGTGTGAGGTTGGTAAGATTAAAAAAATATATAAAAAGTTTGTTTTTATTAAAAATGTAGTAAAAACAGTAATATTGTGAAATATATTAAAATTTAAAATAACTTTTCTAATGTAATATATTTTAAGATGACATTTATTCCTATGGTGGCAAAGTGGAATTTTCAGCATCATTACTCCAGTCTTCAGTGTCACGTGATCCTTCAAAAATCATTATAATATGATGACTTGGGGCTAAAGAAACATTTCTAATTATTATCAATGTTGAAAACGGCTGTTCTGCTTAATATTTTTGTGGAAACTTTGATATACTTTTCAAAGGGTTCTTAGATGAATAGAAAGTTAAAAAAAAAATTATACCAAAAAAAAAACATTCAAAAGAATTATTAAAAAAATTGTACATAAATATATTTTGTCACTTTTGATCAATTTAATGCATCTTTGCTGAATATATGTATTAATTTTTCAACAACAAAAAAAAATCTTACTGACCCCAAAAAATACAATACAGTAGTGTATATGGAGAGAAATAATAATAATAATAATAACCTTCAAGAGCTCGTAAAAGAACTGAGAAGTCTTCATCCTCTGAACATAAAAACATAAATAATGAAGCGTTAGGACATTTCAGTTAAAGGAATGAAGGATAATATCCCTATAGCTCAGTGTAGACAGCACTGACCAGTCCAGCTGGTGCTGCTGATAAGCAGAGCAGGACGTCCAGCAGAGCGCGTCACAGCACCCGTCTGAGTATTGTGCTCTGTGAAAGCTGTCAGTTCCATGTACTCCTTAGTGACATCAGGACTAAGAAATTATAAAGAGGAATGTGTGAAACATTTATAAAATGCCAAAGACTAAGTTGCGAGAGGATATTATCCTTTTCAGAAAACTTTTATACTACTATATGTGTAACCGCAAGGAATGGGAGCAAATGGTTCTACATGAAAATACTTACCTAGGCCTAAATGGTAAGTAAGTACTGCCCATTCTGATAAACAGCTCATGTTGAAGTTTCAGAGGCGTTTCTCTAAATATCGGGGGTGGCTTGTCATATAATGTGGTTGCCCTACAATTGCAAAATTGATTAACTGGCTTGTCTTAAAAGTAAACTGTTTTACTAATAATATTATTAGTTATTAATTAAATGTTTATTTAATAATAATAATAATAAATGTAAATAAAGTATTATCTGATTCTAAATGAACTCTAAACATACTCAATATTCCAGTTTTTCCGAAGATCTTCTCTCATTGCGTTAGTGACACATAAGTTATTATCCGAGAAACGTCCAAAGAGCTTCTCGTACCTGCCAACAACACAATGCACAGTTCAGACTATTCCCAAACACGGCTCAAAACACACTGTGTCCTACCAGGATACTTACCATTTTGCCAATTTAACAATGAAATGATTCTCCCCATGAGTGAGAGCCATTATGGTGTATCCATAGTTGTGCCAGTCTATGATGAACTGGTTTCCCCTGAAACGACTTGCTGCCCATGCTACTGCTATAGCTGGCAGTCCAGGAGGATTCTACAGAATGCACACGTGACTTAGAGTTTCACTTTAAGACATAATAACATATAAAAATTACTTCATACTTTGCTTAATACAAAAAACAGATACCTGCATAAGGATATAGCTTTGGTCCTCAATCTTCATCAACACATAGAACAGCTGGAAAGACTGGAATATCACCTTTGAAGCATACCTGAAAATTCTGGGGCCAACTGAAAGGCAAAATGCAGCTCACATTATTTATATTAGAATGACTGTGCACGGACTTTTGTGCTTTTATGCTTTCTTTCTGTGTATATGTTTATATTACCTGTAAGCCCCTTTAGTTCTGAAATGGGAAGTATGTCTATCCTGTCATCCTCAATAATGTCTTGATGAGGTTTAGTACCTATGTGAGCAACATGCCAGTGTTAGAGGTGCTAAAAACCAGCCCTGTGGCCTGTATATGTAATGCATATCGAAGTGATTTAGTTTATTAGCATGCCTTGCATTCAAACATGGGGGAACAATCGACATCATGCATAAAATAAAATAGTGATGCAATATGAAGTGCATGCGTTAAAATGTATATACCAAGGAAGCCAATTAGGGTGACATTGTATCCGTGTCTGCTGAGAGAGAGCGCATGATACTGCATGCGAGGACTGCGCCCTATATCTCCCAGCACCAACACGCAAACGTTCAAATGTGCAAGTTCATCTCGTCCCTTTAATCCACTGGCTAGTACAAAAATAAGCACAACTACTGCGACTGGCAGAAGAGCCCACGATAAGCTTAACCCCGACAAAAGTCCTAAAAGAACCAATGAAACTGTCACTACAGCTACTGCCGCATTGGCATCCGCCATTGTGTTTTCCTGATTATGACGTGGCTGCCGCTGGCTGAATGTAGGGCAGGAAATTTAAAGAGACACGAACCACTGGCGAATAAGAACACCTAATTATAACCAGCATACATTAATGTTCTTCAAGAGCATGTCAGTTCATACATTTTTAAATAATTTTGATGTAAATAATTTCAGATATTTTCATCGTCAATAGAGAAAGATGCTATTAGCAGCCAGATGATGCAGTTACGATACAAGATTTTAGTGAACTTTTTAAAAAGAAAGAAAGAAACCTGGAAATTATTAAAAAGACCAAGGAATGAGGAGAAATCCCACTCAGCAATAATATTCAAACTATGTGGTACCACAGGGTTTACTTCAGCGGACCTGAGCCACGTGATGGGTTTGCTATGACAAATGCTTCCCCTTCGAAATAAGGAAAAAGCTGCTGGATAGACCACTCGTCCATAACTATTTTCCCTGTTCATTTTGTATTCTCAAAGGTCTTAAAATGTGGTATCCTTTCCTTGTGTTTCTTGTTC